AGTGAAAAAAGTTTTTTGTTTTTAAATGCAAGCTATTATGACACCAGATATGAGTGGCACTGTAAACTGGCAGAATACACACTGTAGGGCTGACACAACCGCTTGAAGACAACTAACTGCTATTCAATCTATAACAGTGAAAAAAGTTTTTTTGTTTTTAAATGCAAGCTATTATGACACCAGATATGAGTGGCACTGTAAACTGGCAGAGTACACGCTGTAGGGCTGACACATCCGCTTTGAGACAACTGACTGCTATTCAATCTATAACAGTGAAAAAAGTTTTTTGTTTTTAAATGCAAGCTATTATGACACCAGATATGAGTGGCACTGTAAACTGGCAGAATACACACTGTAGGGCTGACACAACCGCTTGAAGACAACTAACTGCTATTCAATCTATAACAGTGAAAAAAGTTTTTGTTTTTAAATGCAAGCTATTGTGACACCAGTGAGTGGTGGCACTGGGCGCGTATCCACTGTGACTTAACACACCGCTGGGACATGACTGCTATTCAATCTATAACAATTGAAAAAAGTTTTGTTTTAAATGCAAGCTATTGTGACACCAGATATGAGTGGTGGCACGGGGCACCGTATCCACTGTGAGCTTAACACACCCACTTTAAGGACACTGACTGCTATTCAATCTATAACAGTGAAAAAAGTTTTTTGTTTTTAAATGCAAGCTACTGTGACACCAGGTATGAGTGGTGGCGCTGGGCACCGTATCCACTGTGAGCTTAACACACCCGCTTTAAGGACACTGGCTGCTATTCAATCTATAACAGTGAAAAGAGTTTTTTGTTTTTAAATGCAAGCTATTGTGACACCAGTGAGTGGTGGCACTGGGCACCGTATCCACTGTGAGCTTAACACATCCGCTTTAAGGACACTGACTGCTATTCAATCTATAACAGTGAAAAAAGTTTTTTGTTTTTAAATGCAAGCTATTGTGACACCAGTGATGAGTGGTGGCACTGGGCACCGTATCCACTGTGAGCTTAACACACCCGCTTTAAGGACACTGACTGCTATTCAATCTATAACAGTGAAAAAAGTTTTTTGTTTTTAAATGCAAGCTATTGTGACACCAGATATGAGTGAGGGTGGCACTGGGCACCGTATCCACTGTGAGCTTAACACACACCGGCTTTAAGGGTGTGTTTTTTAAATACAAGCTATTGTGACACCAGTGAGTGGTGGCACTGGGCACCGTATCCACTGTGAGCTTAACACACCCGCTTTAAGGACACGACTGCTATTCAATCTATAACAGTGAAAAAAGTTTTTTGTTTTAAATGCAAGCTATTGTGACACCAGTGAGTGATGGCACTGGGCACCAGTATCCACTGTGAGCTTAACACACCCGCTTTAAGGACACTGACTGCTATTCAATCTATAACAGTGAAAAAAGTTTTTTGTTTTTAAATGCAAGCTATTGTGACACCAGTGAGTGGTGGCACTGGGCACCCGTATCACATGTGAGCTTAACACACCCGCTTTAAGGACACTGACTGCTATTCAATCTATAACAGTGGAAAAAGTTTTTTGTTTTTAAATGCAAGCTATTGTGACACCAGATATGAGTTAGTGGTGGCACTGGGCACCGTATCCACTGTGAGCTTAACACACCCGCTTTAAGGACACTGACTGCTATTCAATCTATAACAGTGAAAAAAGTTTTTTGTTCTTAAATGCAAGCTATTGTGACACCAAATATGAGTGGTGGCACTGACTGGGCAAATGGGCACAGTATCAACTGTGAGCCTGACACAGAAGCTGGCAGCAGTGGCAGACAACTGACTGCTATTCAATCTATAACAGTGAAAAAAGTTTTTTGTTTTTAAATGCAAGCTATTGTAACACCAGATATGAGTGGTGGCACTGACTGGGCAAATGGGCACAGTATCCACTGTGAGCCTGACACAGAAGCTGGCAGCAGTGGCAGACAACTAACTGCAATTACATTACACAGAAAAAAAAGAAAAAGCATACCCTAACCCTAACCTAGCTATGCATTTCCCTATCTAATCAACAGCAGCTACACTTTCCCTCCTCTCACTAAGCATGCAGCTTGAGAATGAATGTAAAATGGATGCCTTCCAGTAGGTGGGAGGGTCTGCTAGGGAGGGTGTGCTGCTAATTGGCTGGAATGTGTCTGCTGGCTGTGAGGTACAGGGTCAAAGTTTACTCAATGATGACGAATAGGGGGCGGATCGAACCGCGCATGCGTTTGCCGTCCGCGGCGGATGCGAACACGCTATGTTCGCCGGCGAACCGTTCGGTGCATCACTAGTCAAGAGCTGCGCGCGCATTCAGCCAGTTGCATAGGAAAGCATTTACAATGCTTTCCTATGGAGGCATGCGTGCTCTCACTGTGATTTTCACAGTGAGAATCACGCAAGCGCCTCTAGCGGCTGTCAATGAGACAGCCGCTAGAGGAATTGGAGGAAGGATTAACCCATTTGTAAACATAGCAGTTTCTCTGCTATGAGAACATTTATTTATCTCTACTAATTGTTGTACCAGTACCAGTGAGGTGATACAGAAACAACCAGGACTCTGGAATATTGCTGAGGCTGAGATTTTAGACCTGCACAGAAGGCAGAGCACAGGGTGAGACATCATTCAGAGAAATATAGTGAAAAAAACTGTTATATGTATTATTTTAAACACGTAGATCGTGTTTGCATAAGTGAAAAAAGGATGTTGAACAACTCGGTGGCAATACCTTATTTGGCCCAATATGATGCATATCATCAACAACTTGAAAATTCTACATTCCAGTTGTACTTGCAATGCAGGGTTTGCATGTATTATTACAGGGCTTGACAAACTTCTGTAGCCTTGAGGAGCCACACCAAATCAGGAGCAAGAGAAATGTAACTTCCATAAAGTTTTATAAAATACAATCAAAAAACTTAGGAGCCAGCAGCAGCAATTTTAGGAGCCATGGCTCCCGGGATTTGTCGAGCCCTATGTTATTCTATTTATCTTTACTTGCAGTGCAGGTTTCACACATATTCTCCTGTTGATCTCTACCTGCCGTTGCAGGGTTGCTTGTGTTATTTAGTTGATCTCTACCTGCCGTTGCAGGCTTGCTTGTGTTATTCAGTTGATCTCTACCTGCCGTTGCAGGCTTGCATGTGTTATTCAGTTGATCTCTACCTGCCGTTGCAGGCTTGCATGTGTTATTCAGTTGATCTCTACCTGCCGTTGCCGGCTTGCATGTGTTATTCAGTTGATCTCTACCTGCCGTTGCAGGCTTGCTTGTGTTATTCAGTTGATCTCTACCTGCCGTTGCAGGCTTGCTTATGTTATTCAGTTGATCTCTACCTGCCGTTGCAGGCTTGCATGTGTTATTCAGTTGATCTATACCTGCAGTGCATGCTTGCATGTGTTCAGTTGATCTATACCTGTGTTGCAGGCTTGCGTGTATTCTTTGCTTGATGTCTGCCATATGGTATTCCGTTGATCTATACCCGAAATGCAGGGTTATGATGTGTTTTTCAGTGGATTTGTTATTCTCTGTACGGTTAATCTATAATCTATATGCTTTATGCTTTTTACCTTGCATTGCTTACTTTAAATAGTCACGTCTTACTTGGTTGATGTATATAATGCTTTTGTACATTGGCTTAAAAAGTGCCTGATGTTGAGTTCATAAAACATTTTTAATACCAGGCTTTAGCACTGGCACGCTTTTATTTCTGAATATATATCAGAATTTATTATTTGGCTTCATTGGGACATGTTTCAGTCTTTATCATTTTCAAATGACCCAGCGGACAATTTTAATCAATTTGATTAGAATCACCATTCTAATCCATCCACTCCCATAGATTCTGGATCATTTTGCCCATGGTTCAGATGTAATTAATTTGTGTTTTGAATCAAATATAGCAAATATATCTTCCTTTTTTTAGTGATTGCCATGGATAAGAAAGGTGAAAGTAAAAGAAAACAGAAAGTTGGAGCAGAAAATTAATGTGAAAAAATAAATAAACTGTTAGAAAAAGATGCACACCAGTATCAAAAAGTCAGTAGCTTGTTTAAGATAGTGGCAACAAAGCATGACTTACCACCTGTATCTCCACATGAAGACATTGGCGCTAGCTGTAGCACAGCAATGCATAGCGCTATGCAAAGCACTGTACAGTTGGATATAGATACCGATGCAGGTGAAGATATTCACCACAGTATTGGAGTTCCTGTTGAAGGAGAAACTGATGAACATGAAGAATCATTAGCAAAAGAAGATATTCCAGAAGTAGTTGGCCCTAAGGAGGGCATGTCTGACACAGTTGATGATAAAATGTGGTTTATCAGACCAAAATCTGAAAATTTGGATTCCTTCCTATTGTTTCATCCATGTCAACCAGTTGTCCTTTCTTTTAATTCAGCAAAGTTATATCAGAGGAGGGATGGAAAGAAGCGTCACTGGTTGACTTATTCACATGGACATGGTGCCTTTTTCTGCATGGTGTGTCTAGCTTTCAGCAAAAAGACAGACGACAGTGCTTTTATTGATGGTTGCTTTGATGAAAAGCACATGTACCAGAGAATTGAAGAGCACAAAAGAAGCAACCTCCACAATAATAGCTCTGAATCGTTTTTGATGAGGTCAAAGAATATGGACATATCTAGTCATATCTTTGAGAAACAAACAACAGCCAGAAAAGAGGAAGTGAAGAGAAAACATGCCATCCTAGAGAGGATAATTGAAACCATAAAGCTGATTGGAAAAAGAGGCCTAAGCTATCGGGCAACAGCTGAAGCAGCGTTAGATAATGAAAAGTTGGACCATGGAAATTTCCTTGAGATTTTGCTACTCTTAAGCAAGTTTGATCCCTTGCTGAAAAATCACCTTGATACAGTTATTAAAAAAAGTAAAAAGCAGCATCAAAGTGCAACAAGTAGCAAAGGACGTGGTGGCTTTGTTACATTAATTTCAAAAACTACAGTCAACAATATCATCTGTGTAATTTCAGCACTTTTGAAAAAAGTATTGCCCAAGAGATCAGAGAAGCCGGCATGTTCTCAATACAGCTCGATACAACACAGGATTTAAACGTCTCAGACCAGTGTTCAATAATAATTCGGTATGTCACAGATGTGGTCCATGAATGTCTGGTTGCTGTGGTAAATTGCACATCCACGACAGGGAAGGCTTTGTGTGAACTGGTTTGCAATGTATTGGAATCCATGGAAATTGAGGTTATGAACTGTGTTGGGAACTCAACAGATGGAGCTTCTAATATGCAGGGTCAGTCCAACGGATTCAGCACATGGCTGAGTAATAAAGCACCTGGCCAGATTCATGTGTGGTGCTATGCACATGTACTAAATTTGGTGATGATGGATGTCACAAAGATATCTGTTCAGGCAATATTGTTGTTCAACTTGTTAAACTCCTGTGCTGTATTTATCCGTGAATCCTACCTTCGGATGAATGTATGGCGTGAAAAGTCTCAGGAAGAAAGATTTAGATCTCTTTCTGTGATTGGAGAAACAAGATGGTGGTCCAGAGATGCAGCACTTACAAAGGTGTTTGGTTCGTTTAATGATCCAAGTCAAGCCTTGTATGTAGATTTGATCCAGACCATGGCAGAAATATCACGTTCTGATCATTTTAATGCTGACATCAGATACAAGACTGGAACTTACTTAGAATCCCTCAAAAAGTTCCACACACTTATAATGGCACAGCTATACTTATTTGTTTTCGAGAATACCACTCCACTATCCTTGTACCTGCAAACACAAGATATGGATGTATTGCAGGCATACTGAATGGTGACAGAAACGGTAAACAACTTGCAAGCACCTGATCGTGATTCCCAAATGATTATAGAAGTTTGCAGTCTGGGCAAACAGAAAGTTGGATACAACCGCCTGCAAAGTTTTGATTGAGGAAGACTTTCCATCACCTCGAAGAATACAACGTAAGAAAAGAATGGCTGGTGAGCTTGCAGTAGCTGAACCAATTCTGTTAGCAAGTGATCAGTTCCGGGTGGAGGTGTACAATGTGACCTTGGACAAGATCATTAATAGTCTGCATAGCTGATTTACAACACATGGTCAGTTATTTGCAGACTTGGCATGTTTAGATCCCCCAAATTTTGAAGATATTTTACTAGACCTTCCCAGCAGTGCATTAGAACGACTGAGTAGCCTTGTTATTAAATTTGACTCCAATGCAACTAAAGAGAAATTGCAAAGTGAGCTACTTGATTTTGCATCAAAGTGGCAAAGATTGAAAATGTCACTTGATGAAGAATATACTGATGCTAACAATGAAGGTCAAGATGAAGACACCATCCATTCTCATCTTATCTCTGAAACTGAGGAACAGCCATACTCCAATGTTGGTGATAAAAGTGGAAAGTGCAAAACCTGTAAGAGCTGTATAGCCTGCTGCTACAATGTATTATTGCGTTACAACTTTTACAGTCTAACGTATAGTTCACTTTTTAATGCATACAAATTGACACTGACACTTTCCTCTTCGCAAGTAGCATGTGAGAGGTCTTTTTCAAAACTTAAATACATCATGAACAGACTGAGAAATTCCCTCTCTCAAACACATTTGGAGGCCTTTATGCTAATGTCCGTGGAGAAAGAGGCCTTGATTGGACTAAGCAATGAAACCATCATTGATGTTTTGGCTTCGAAAAGCAGCTTGCTACAAGGGATGTTGCTTACATAACTTACAAGCATGTCAGTAAATTACAATGTTGGTCAATATTTCTTTTTCTAAATTTTGACTGGATTAGTTTTTTTTTTAAGTTATTACTTTTAAAAGTTGTTACATATTTTATCCTCTAAAACTTTAGAAAACAGTTTACACATTGCAACCTCCTAAAGCAGGGCTGTCCAACATGCGCCCTCCCCAGATGTTACTGAACTACAGCTCCCATAATTCCCTGGCCATCTGTTTCATTAAAAGAATCATGGTAGTTGTAGTTAGAAACATCTGGGGGGGGGCACAGGTTAGACAGGACTGTCCTAAAGGGTAATGAGCCCTGTTTTTATCTACTGTTAAACTAATTTACTTGTTTTAAAGCACTTTTTTGAGTAATGTTTGTACATTACATTTTGAAAACTGTTGGGTTGCTTGCCATGGTACTGGTACAATTTTCCTGTTCTAAAATTGGACTAGAAACCTAGTCAGCAATATGTTTCAAGGTATTTAAACTTTATTGAATTCCAAAGGTTTTCACACATTTTGTACTGTTACAGAATTAACAGCAAGTTTATTATAACTGTCAAAATATTTAATTACTGTCTAGTATAACATTTGCACTTTTTGTTACCTCTAAAAGTTTATTTGCATTTACTACTGTTTTGTGTGTTTATGAGTAATTTATATAAGTTAATAAATTTTGGAAACCATTTGTGTTTTCTATACTTTGAAGTAAAGCTCTTTGATTATTCTTTATTTGGACAATTTTGATGGGGCAGACACAATTGCATGGGATAATGGTCTACTATGATATTTGAAACAATGGGGGTTCTACATAAAGAGCTATTGTGGGGCAAAGTTCTAAATGTAGTCTAATCACCCTAGCAAAAAATGGTCTACTTTTGATGATTGCTACACGTTTACACTTTTCTTACGCTTTATGTATAAGGCCTTGCGTGCTTTTATATCTCTTATCTATAAATAATTCACTCTTCAAATGTGCTTTAAAATGCATGATTTTACCTTTTATGAACAAGAAAATGACGTTGTGCCGGTATAATTACGCAATGCTATGGGGCTGGTATGGAATTTTTTCCAGGGCTGGTTTTCATACCCAGTCCGGCCCTGGGCTTTCCAGTCGGGGCACAGAGGACCAGTCACAGGAGCTATAGCAAAATGTAATATAAATGTATGGAACACAGTCCAAGAGTGTCTTCCCCAATGTAATGGGGGCTTAAAGGGTCCAAAATGCTCCTCCACTGTTTATCGTCAGCCAACACCATACACATGTTGGCATGTGGTGCATCTCAACTAATATGATATATTCATCCCATGTGTATGCGTTCCATTACATAGAAACATAGAAACATAGAATGTGACGGCAGATAAGAACCATTCGGCCCATCTAGTCTGCCCAATTTTCTAAATACTTTCATTAGTCCCTAGCCTTATCTTATAGTTAGGATAGCCTTATGCCTAAACCACGTATGCTTAAACTCCTTTACTGTGTTAACCTCTACCACTTCAGCTGGAAGGCTATTCTATGCATCCACTACCCTCTCAGTAAAGTAATACTTCCTGATATTATCTTTAAACCTTTGTCCCTCTAATTTAAGACTATGTCCTCTTGTTGTGGTAGTTTTTCTTCTTTTAAATATAGTCTCCTCCTTTACTGTGTTGATTCCCTTTATATATTTAAATGTTTCTCTCATATCCCCCCGTCTTGTCTTTCCTCCAAGCTATACATGTTAAGATCCTTTAACCTTTCCTGGTAAGTTGTATCCCGCAATCCATGAACCAGTTTAGTAGTCCTTATCGGAACCCTCTCTAAGTTATCAATATCCTTCTGAAGATACGGTCTCCAGTATTGTGTACAATACTCCAAGTGAGGTCTCACCAGTGTTCTGTACAATGGCAGGAGCACTTCCCTCTTTCTACTGCTAATACCTCTCCCTCTCCCTCCATTGCTGTCATATTTGCATTCCACCTGCCTGTATACCAAAGATGAGGGAAACTATGTAACTTCCTCATATATTTATGTAGAACTGACTATGAATATAATAGAAAGAAACCAGTGTAGACACTAGTCTTTCATAATATTTTTCTTACAATGGTCTCAATTTAAAGGGACACTGTAGGCATTTCATTTAATTGGTTATAAGTGCATGGAGTACCCTGGCACTGTCTCTCCATTCAGTGTTAAACCATTTTCAAAAAGTTTAGCACTGAATGAGGGTCACTGGGCTACCATAGCCCTGCCCTCACAAAGGTGTGACACCTGCAGTGTACATTTAATATTTCTAAATAAGCTTTTCAAATGATTTAATATTTTTGGAGACACTTTTAAAATGATTTAATATTGTATATTTTTGATATATTGATATATTTTTGATATTTTATTATTTTGAATATATCATATTAACAGATGATGCAAAAATATTAAATCATTTGAAACGATTATCCAAAAATATTATATCAGGGCTAATTTTGGTAAAATACATCATCATCATATAAAGGTACTCTTGTGAGTGCATTCCACAATAATGTATAATAAAAATCTGTCCCCCTATTTAGTATCTTATTTATATTTAGCAATGATTATGTTATAAATTTAAATTAAGGTAAATTAATGTTATATATTTTTTCTAATATTTTTAAGTAATTTATTACCCATTTTTAGCAATGCTCAAATTAATTACCTTAGTTCAAAACCTCTTAGAAATGAAACATGTATGACTGATATTTTAAGCTATGTATCTAGTTCCACTGAGCAACCAAGCAGCAGAGGAGCATTTCGGACCTGCTAGCTACACACCCTTGGGCTGTATTCCATACATCTATGTTAAAATATAGTGTAACCCCATTGTTCTCTATTGGTAATCTACAGTATATGCTGCACTGCTAAAGAAGACAGTACACTGTGAAGTAGATTATAGGTGCGGTGTCCCATGATTTGCTCAAGTCTTAATCGCAACAAATTAAATGTGATAGACTCACAAGAGCAGATTAAGTTCCACTGAGAGCTTTATTCCACCAGTGTGGACCCAGTGATGTTCTGGACTCCAATTTACATAGGATTGGCAGAGAGGGTCATAGGTGGAATAAAGCTATTGCTGGTCTACTATTAGTATTGCTAGTCTACTATATTTACTTAAACATTGACTGGCATGCAATAACTCCATCTTAGGACATGATTGAATAATTTTCAATAAGCTTTTCAAATAATTTAATATTTCCATATGAATATTATTATAGTATATTACAATAACATAATTTTATGTTCAGCTTAACCCCCCACATTTTTTTTTAATTGGCTATATTTATCACTCTACATGCTGAGAATGATAGAAATCACTGTACTGATTCCTTTGATTATTTCTACCTTT